TCAGCAGGAGAGGAAGTGCAAAGATGTGAGGCTCAGTGGACTCATGAGAAATCCAGAGAATCTCCTCCTCCCACCTGCCCCAACACCATACATTGGTGTAGAGCAAGCCCAGAAAATTGGAAAGAACACAGAACACAAGTCCCAGAAGGCCCCCCTTCCTTCCTCTCTGGCCATTAAAACACTGCCCTGAGGATGTGTCCCTCAGTGAAGCCAGTCTAGGTCCAGCCCAACAGCACAGTCACAAAGACAGCCCTCTGCTAATGCTTGCCACGGCTCAGTTCCCTTCCATGTCCTCCTTAGATGTCTCATTTGATATGTCCACACCCCCAGGACATATGCAGCTGTTTTTCCTATGTTACCAATGAAGTTTCAGACATTTGGAGATTCTGAAGCACAGGCCTAAGGTTATCAGCTAGTGGGTGCTGCCACCAGGACCAGGCACCACCGTGCAGGAATCAGGAGCCCACCTTGTGGCTGCATGGAGAGGTCAGCACAGGGAGAGGCAGGGAACAAGTCCAGCCACAGGCTGGAACAAAAGGGACCAGGGAGAGTCCTAAGGCAGACATCTCCACTCTATGACCATTCATTGATGGTTTCTCAGCCTCTGACCACACACGATGATAGAGAACTTGCTATGCACAGTGAACACTGAGCAAATGCTGGACAGTGCCTCAGTAAGGACAACCTTCCTTGTAAAGCTGTGAACAGCTTCCTTGAGATTTCAACCCCTCTCCTGGCTCTGTGCTAGGGCTGACCCAGGACTAATCCTACCCCTATGCCGTATTCATATAGTGTCCCAATGCACACACATGCACAAACATACGTGCACAAATACAGGCTCATGCACATACACACATAGAACACAGTTGCATACTCACAAACTAATAATCACACACATGTACAGAGACATACAGACATATGTGTACACACAGAGAACACAGACATATATGCAGATGTAGAACACAGATATGCACTCACATATATGCAGATGTAGAACACACACATGCACTGGCACATGTAGCTACACTGGCACATGTAGCCACAGTGCACATGCACACATGACACACAGACACATCCCCAGCCACTCTCTCTGGTTCTCTAATACTTCCCCTCTGGCCTAGCTGTGAAATGCCAACATCCTGGCCACCTTCATCACGCAAAATCTGTCCCCCTGGATTTCCAACTAGAGTGGCCAGAGCAAGCACAGCTTGCCACCATAAAGCTTCTGTGACAGCGGCCCGCTGGCATGAGGACAAAACACCGCAGGTTGGGGAATTTCTTCCCAAAGGAATGCAGTGGAGCCAGGCCAGGCGGGCAGCCCAGGAATGGGAGCTCCCCTGGGGGCCGGAACTTCTAACTCTTCCTAATGAGATCACTCCTTCCTGACCGCGTGGGCAGAGAAGGAGCTGTCACAGAATTTTTGCTGGAATGTCTGGGATACTTAATAGCATTTCCAGGAAGCCCAGGAGCTTCTGGGCAGTAGCTGACTTGAAGGGGAAGAGAAATACTGTTTTCTGGGAAAGCTGAAGTTTCTTACTGAGCAGGGGCCTGCACTGATTGGGTCAGGAAGGTCTCCCCATTCTCAATCTCACCCCAAAATGTCAGCATTTATGTTCTAGGTGGTTTTGTATGGAAGCTACCTTCTAACCACCTGCTGGTTACTTCTAAGAGGAGATGGGTTTCAGACAAACTGAAATCTCCACTCGAGAGAAGGTTTAACATGATTATCTACAAAGTTCTCTTCCCAGGCAGAAATAGCAATGGTGGTTTTGGTGAACCCTGAGAATAAGCAGCTTCCTCCTTCAGAGGCTCTAACAAGTGGCCATGACTTTGCATGTTATCTACATCCTGTATCTGAGTTCCAAGTTCCAAAGCCAGTGTCCAATAGCAGGCAGGGCAAGAATGGTTATTCTTGCTGTACAGATGAGAACACTGAGGCTAACGGGTGACAAGGGATTGTATGAAGGGGATTACTGTGAGCAGAGCCAAGATCTACATACATCTGGCCCACCCTCACCTATCACCCACATCACCTTCTACCCTTGAAGGTAATTATCCTCATGAGGCTACTGGATATCCCTTTTGATCCATGGCTTTTAATTGTGTCATCATCATCATAATTATGAACTATACAAGGGCTTATTGCCCCAAAGCTGGCCTTTAGGCAGGTAAAAGATGGAGATCACCTGCCAAGGAAGACGGACAGGCTGACTTTCACAGGAGGAAGTGGGGGGATGGTTGTCCACTGATGTCTGAGCTACAGCATCATGAGAACATCTCCCTGGCACGAAGAAAACACCCTAACAGTGGAGCCCAGTGGCATCATTTGCCATAATGAGACTTGGCACACGTTTTTCCATTAAGAGACCCTTCATCCAAACTTGCCGGCTATCCCTACATCCTCTCATTCCATTTCAGCCCACTCTGATCAGGCTTCCAATGCCCTCAAGCTATGGAAACTGTCAAGGTCACCTACAATGACTTCATTTCCAAATCAAATGAGCAGGCCTCTCCTATCACCAGATGTCACCTCTCAGCAGTAGTGAGAACACTGCCCACTGCCTCCTCACCATGTGATACCTTCCCTTGGGTTGGCCTCCCATCCAGAGGCTCTGCCAGAGGCTGAACTATGCCCTCCTTCCCCATTCAAATACTGCGTTGCTCTCCCCAAGGCCTCAGACTGTGACTGCATTTGGAGACAGGGTCTTCCAAGAGGTAATTAAATTAAAATGGTGTTATTACAGGTGGGCCCTAATCTAATATAACCAGTGTCATTATAAGAAGGGAAGATTAGGTCAAGGACACACACAGATCATGTGAAGATACAGGGAGAAGACAGCTAGCCACAGCCAGGTGGAGAGGCCTCAGAAGGAATCAATCCTGCTGACACTTTGATCTTGGACTTCCCCCCTTCGGGACTGTAAGAATGTAAATGTGCACCCAGTCTGTGCACCTTCTGGTGACAGCCCCACAGACAGACAGACTCCTCTCTTGCTGCCCTTTTCAGCTCCCACCCAGAGGGTTTCAGGGTCCCTGGGGCCCTCTGCAGGTACCCATCTCCACTAGGAGCACCAAAGTCTAGACACTCTGTCAGCATGGGTCACTCATAAACATGAGCCCACTAGGCCAGTCCAGACCTAACTACTCTCATGGCTAGCTCACAGTATGAAGTCAACCCAGTCTCTACAAAAGCCTTGCCCACTACAACACGGTGTACCCACTAGCGTGCCAGGTAGCATAGCTAGAAATCTACAACCATTTGATCCTACCCTTTTCTTTCCCAGTCTCCAAATGACATGCTCAGTGGATCTGTCCTTCTTCCTTCCCACGCAGGGTGCTATGGTTTGAAAATGTTCCCCAAAATTCACATATTGAAAAATGTTTGCTACGGACTGGCAGATGACGTAATGGTTACATACTTGTTGGCCATGGTTTGAGTCCCAGACCTGGCAGTTTGGAACTCATGCTGGGCATGTGTGTGTGTGTGCTTACAATCCCAAGAGAAGAAGGAGAAGGGGTTGTGGTGTGGCCATCTCCCCCCATGGGGTGGGGGGGCACTGATTTCTTCCTTTCTGTTTCTCTGGCAAGTGCATGAGCCCTATAGTGAAAGTCTCTCAAGGAAAAAGAAAAAAAGAAACTGGTTGCTACTGTTAAGGTATTAAAAGGGTAAAAACTTAATATGACTATGGTCTTGAGAGGTGAGGCCTTTGAGAAGTGATTAGATAAAGTCATCAGGGTGGGGCCCCCAGGATTGAATCTTTGTGGGATTATAAGAAGAGGTAGAGAGACCAGAGTTGATACATGCTCTTGTCTCTCACCAAGTGATGCCAGGCACCTCCTTGGGATTTCACAGAGCCCAGTCAGCAAGAAGGCATTCACCAGATGCAGCCCCTTGACTTTGAACTCCCCAAACCACAAGCTGTATAAATCTCTCTTCTTTTAAATTACCCAGTTATTGAAAAAAGAAAAATGGACTGAAACAGGGATTCTCAGCTTCTGCATTTGACATTCTGGGCCAGACCATTCTTTGCTGGAGGGTGTACTGTCCTTGCACTACAGGGTGTTGAGCATCCCCCCCTACCCACAAGATGCCAACAGCCTCCCTGCACCAAGTTACAACAGCTAAAAATGTCTGCAGGGACCAGTAATCAGCATAATGGCTATGTCGCTGGACTCCCATGTAGTCAACTGTGGTTCGAGTCCTGGACCCGGTGGCTTAAAACTCATGCTGGGCGCATGTGCATGCGTGCCCAAGATCTTGAGAGGAGAATGGAGGAGAAAGGATTGTGGTGTGGCCATCACCCCTGGGGGGGGGTATTTCTCGCTTTTTGTCTCTCTGTCTCTGTCTGTCTGGCGAGCGCACACACCCTATAGCAAAAACTTCTCAAAAAAAAAAAAAAAGTCTGCAGACATTGCCACGCGTCTCCCCATGGGTCAAACTGCCCCCAGTTCCAGAACCTTGGGTCCATTCACTTCTTTCCCTTCCCCAGGCCTTCATCTTCCCTTACTCTCTCTGACTGTTCTTCCCATTTTTATCTTGGCAGTCCACAATCTGGTGCCCACCCAGCTGCCAAAGTGATCTGACACCTAAGTGGACTGTGATCTTCCTTCCTGTACAACATCCTTCCAGACACTTGCACTTCTACTTCTCAGCCCCATGACTCAAGGGCCCCTCTGCAGCTCCTTGACGATGTGCTCCGCCTATTTTCTGCCGTCTCTATGTTCCTGCTGCACACAGACCTTCCTGCAGCAACCCTGGGTACCCACACTTTGCCGGGCCCAACTTTCTCCTCCTTTGTCTTCAGCCAAGCACCACCTCCCCAGCTAGAGGATGCCCCTGGTGTCACCCACCCTGGTGTCACCCACAAGCTCTTCTCCTTGTTAGTATCACAGTTTACTTTTCTAACATCGTTTACAATGAGTGTTCACTGTCTGCTTTCGGTCTGGATGCCTCTCTGGAGTTTAAGCACCAAGAGATCAGAGACAGTGCATGTCTTCCTCAGCAGAGCTCCCCAAGGGCCAAGATGGTTTCCCTCCTCCATAAATTATGGAGAATGAATGAAGGAATGAATGCATGGAGGAGTAAATCACCTGACCTCTCTCCACCCCAGATTCCTTCTTCAAAAACTTCTCAAAAAAAAAAAAAAAGTCTGCAGACATTGCCACGTGTTTCCCCATGGGGTCAAACTGCCCCCAGTTCAGAACCTTGGGTCCATTCACTTCTTTCCCTTCCCCAGGCCTTCATCTTCCCTTACTCTCTCTGACTGTTCTTCCCATTTTTATCTTGGCAGTCCACAATCTGGTGCCCACCCAGCTGCCAAAGTGATCTGACACCTAAGTGGACTGTGATCTTCCTTCCTGTACAACATCCTTCCAGACACTTGCACTTCTACTTCTCAGCCCCATGACTCAAGGGCCCCTCTGCAGCTCCTTGACGATGTGCTCCGCCTATTTTCTGCCGTCTCTATGTTCCTGCTGCACACAGACCTTCCTGCAGCAACCCTGGGTACCCACACTTTGCCGGGCCCAACTTTCTCCTCCTTTGTCTTCAGCCAAGCACCACCTCCCCAGCTAGAGGATGCCCCTGGTGTCACCCACCCTGGTGTCACCCACAAGCTCTTCTCCTTGTTAGTATCACAGTTTACTTTTCTAACATCGTTTACAATGAGTGTTCACTGTCTGCTTTCGGTCTGGATGCCTCTCTGGAGTTTAAGCACCAAGAGATCAGAGACAGTGCATGTCTTCCTCAGCAGAGCTCCCCAAGGGCCAAGATGGTTTCCCTCCTCCATAAATTATGGAGAATGAATGAAGGAATGAATGCATGGAGGAGTAAATCACCTGACCTCTCTCCACCCCAGATTCCTTCTTCCATGGGAGAGAACATAACACCTGTCATGCAGAGCTGTGGTAGGCAGAGTGCAAAGTCTCTGAAGGTGCTAGCTCTGGCCAGTCAAACCACCACCTGCAATTACCACAGTCCCCTGGTCTCAAGGAGGACACTGAACTGAGGGCGTGGAATAAGGATAGAGCCTGAGCCAGCTTTTCCTGAAGGGGCCATGCAAAGCTCTCCTGCCTAGCCCTAAGGGACCAAAGGCACATGGAACTAGGAGCAGCTCAAGATAGGAAGGACTCCCTCCCACATTGGTTGCACTCACCTTGTCTTCCTTGGGGAATATGGCTCCATTTCCTTTTGCTCTACTCATTTCTGACATGAGTTGGCAAATCTTTCTCTCTCTCTCAGTCCTCTGAAACTTTGATGAACATGTGGTCAATTGGGGAGGAAGGACCACCTTATACAGTCTGCTGAACTTTGGGGGGGGGTTGGACCCTTGAGAAGGACCACCTTATACAGTCTGCTGAACTTTGGGGGGGGGGGCTTGGACCCTGGCTCTTGGCCAGGATGTCCTTCCCGCTCTTTTCTTTGGGCATCCTCCAGCTCTTTCCACTTTCCCACCACCTGTAAAAAGCCCTCCATGAAGTTTTCCTTCATTCTTTCTTTCAGCCCCACATGAAGTTTTCCCCTCCAAAGCCCAGAGTCCATATCTTATACAGTCTGCTGAACTTTGGGGGGGGGGGCTTGGACCCTGGCTCTTGGCCAGGATGTCCTTCCCGCTCTTTTCTTTGGGCATCCTCCAGCTCTTTCCACTTTCCCACCACCTGTAAAAAGCCCTCCATGAAGTTTTCCTTCATTCTTTCTTTCAGCCCCACATGAAGTTTTCCCCTCCAAAGCCCAGAGTCCATATCCATCTGCCTTTGACTGCCACCCACTTTCAACTGCTTTTGAGCACCACCCCAGCTAGGCAGGCCTATGGATCCTGTGCTGCACTGGGCCACCATGCCAGCTCCTCTAAGATCTCCTCATTTTCTCTCCATAAAATGGAAGAACCTGGGGCCATGGTGTTGAAGGAGCAGTGTGCAGAAAACAGTAAAGTGTAGGCGGCATGGTGGTTAAGGTGTCAGACTCACATATGGCTTACCACAGTTTGAGTCATGGGCTTGGTGGCTTGAAAATCATGCTGGGTACATGTGCATGTGTGTCCAAAATCCTAAGAGGAGAATGGAGGAGAAGGG